GAGCTTTACACTTAACTCGGGCAACCAGATCTGTCTTAGCAGCTCCACCAGACACAGCTCGAACTAACAAAACATCAATCCAGTAGGAAGCTTGGATTAAGAGTAATGCAGCCTGATTAAATATTGTATTTACTGCAAGTTGTATATGCGGCCTCTGCGGTACAGGACAAATATCATGTGGAGAAAACTTGGTAAACTCCCTCGCAGAGTATGCAAAAAGTTTAGTGTCATCACCACCTGACATAAGCATCGGCACGCCTAAATGTGCCCATTTATGGTAACTGGAATCAAGGTGCTTCGACCTAGATCGAGGTATCTTTAAGTCCCGTTCAACTATGGTATCTGAAAGGAAAATGAAGACGATTAACAATAGAACAGAACCACAAAACCCAAACAGACTGTACGAAGACAACTCTGCGAGAATTAAAAATTCAGTTAGAAAAAGGGGCAAAGGATTAATTTTATTATCAGAGGATACAAATGAACTAACCTTTGTGACTGATGGGCACAGCAATAGTCAAGGCCCTCACATCATGTGTGTGGGCCCTCACATGACTAATATAAACCCATTTTTTCATGACACTGGAGGTTACATTTCCTTCGTTAGCCCCAGCAAAATCCACAGAGAGCTTATAAAGTACAACCTAAAAATCAGTAGCGTATTGTCAGCAGCTATGGCAGAGCATGTTTGCCTGTCATCTCTGAACAGTTATAAACTACTTCCTCTGTTCACTTTTACTGTCCCTATCCTAATAGATTTTTACTTTTACTCGTCACTTTTAACATATCAAGAAAAGAAAATTAGTTTTCCATGTTTTACCCTTAGCATTAATTACTTATTCCCCAAATCACTTGCCCACACCTAATACTAAACATTAATTAATAGAGGTAGTGTGGTAAAATAACCATGTCAATCATTATTTTCTTAATGCCGTGCCAATTCCAAATGTGACAAGTAAAAGTAAATGGAGGGAGAGTACAATATTCCTCAGTAAAATATTTAGTTGAAAAGATTATACACTGGAAAAAAAGGTAACTACAGATTACTGCATAATTATTGAAGCATGGTTACACCAGTGTTTCAAAAGGCATTCCTCGGCAAGCCTCAAGGTGGAGCATAGTACAAAACGCACAGGGGAGATCTGTGGGGAGTCAAAGTATCATAAGGCATAAGCCCCATCAATCTGAGCATATGCTTAGGCGTTGGGTGAGTTTTTCTTTTGGGGCGTAAGCCCAAAAAATCTCTCCTAATTAAAATTGTTGAAAGTAGGTAGGATGGTATTGTCTTGTTGTCAATATTAGTAGTCATAGTATTACTCTTGTAGTTTCTTGTTCTTTGATTTATGTTGTTTCGTGTAGTTTGATTATAGTATTATTTTGTTGTAGTATTATTCTGCTAATATATGTTGATTTGGTTACTGTTTGTTGTTTCTTGTTTCTTGTACCTCCCTCCTTTTCATAGATTGTTTTTGTCTAGAGTCAAGGCTATATAGGAAATAGCTTCTCTACCTCTGAAGTAAGAGGTGTGGTCCGCGTACACCCTCCCCAGATCCCACTTTGTGAAACTACATTTGGTATGTTGTGTAGGGAGAAGAGATTTTGAGTATTTTTATTTTTTTTGGGACAAAAAACTTAAGCCTGAAAACATTCTTTGAAGCTCTTACATATGTGAAATTAACAAGATAAAACCAACAAAATATCACCAAACATACTTCAAATAAGAATATTTGGTTGAAGGTGAATCTTTTTGTCGAAAAAGTGCAAGTTAACAAAAGCTGCAAATGTATGCTCCGATGGAGGGTGGGGTCACTTTTTCCATACAAAGCACACACCAGTAAACAGTACCAGCAGTGCTTGTTTCAAAACAACCCAGTCATTTTCCAGAACAAACACCAACCCAAGAATCTCGGACTAGCTATTTTGACCATCCAATGGGCTAAAATAAAAAGACGCACCGCACCATTATCTTAGTTTCAACATTTAAAATAGCAGGGGGACAAACCCCTACAACTCCAACCGAAAGTTTTCTTTTTCTAGGGGTTGACATTTATATACCTGACCATCAGAGCCAGCAGAAAAAACCCTAGTGTGGCTGGGAGATGCTGCTAAAGCATTTACGTCGCCTTTATGATTGGAAAGTGCATTCACAAGAGTCCCATGTTGGGTATCCCAGAACTGAACACTCCCGGTACTATCAGCACTGACGAGGGTACCACATCTGGAAACAATATGAAATTAAGGAAAAATTGGAACATCATACAGAGCATTCTTAAAAAAGGGGAGAAATGAACTTCTTTTCTTCACATATATTTAATGCAAGCATTTCCAATTTAATTTTCACCTCAATGCAAGTAGCGACCATATGCATAATTCAGATCCACTACCCAGCCCTCCAAGACCAACTGATATCCTGTAGATTTCATGAGTGACTTCAGCATCCCAGCATCTTATAACCCTGCAAAGAAACAACTTCCATCAGAAATTCACCGTGGACATAATATAAAAAAGTAATTTCATGCCTCAACCTTTCTGTCTTTTTTGAGTTTTCATTAGAAATCAACTGGTAGGCTATATCAAAAATGAAACATACCCATCACTACTCCCAGAAAATATCCTATTTGCATCAGAACTCCAAGTGACACTCAATGTACGTCCTGCAAAAAAAATAAAAATACAAATCTATAATACCAAGTGACATTCATATATGTGCTGTGACTCTTAAGGGTAGCTGTCTCACCCTTGACACTTGGAGATGATCTTTTGAAAGTTAAATTTTTATCATCATCAACTATATAGATTCTTACACGGCCATCATCACAAGCAAATGCTATTCGGCTATGATCACTAGCATGATCCTCGTGAAGCTCTACAGAGTCATCACCATCTTCGCTTTCACTGCTGTCACTGTCACTGCTCTCACTATTTCTATGATTAACATGACCATTCTCATAATGCTTTGGAGACTGCTTTTGATTCAGCTGTGAATTACTGCATGGCTCCACAGCCATCTGCCATATTGCAACATCAATAGAATCTAGCGCAATCTGCAAACAACCATAGCAACAATAACATTACTTGATTCACATCAAACAAAGCATAAAGTGATTAAATAATGACAAACAGCACAACAAAATGCAAAAAATGTCTGTCTTTCACGGTAGTCAACTTTCACTAGGCCTTCATTTCTATATTAAAAGGTACATTCTTTTCATCCTACCTCCTACACCGGAGCTAATAATCAATTCCGCCCCATTCCCTTACAATGGTCTCTAAGATTTCTGGTAAGCATTGCAATTGCAACTCTATCCAAGCATAAGCTACTTACTGGTAATAAAAATAGCTTAGAATAGTAGGAAATCTCCAGAGTACAGCAATAAACAGCTCAACATTTGCAATGCCATTCAACAAAAACAATTAAAAGCAAAGATTTTTTTTTTCACACACCTGTCTCAAATCAAAAAGGTCCCATTCAGAAACTGATCCATCAATACTGGAAGAAAACAACCGTCCAGCAGGCGAACCACCGGAGCCCGACCGACACCAAACCAGCGAAGAAACCCTAGAATTTGGATTCCCGTGTATTGTCTAACCACAAAAACAAATCCAAAACTTCAATTGCCATAATAACCCGAAGAAACATACAAATATAAGCAAAATACAAGTACGTACAAGCTGACAGTGCCAGCCGACTGATCCAGGAGAAACAAGCCAAATCTCAAGAGAACCGTCCTCACGTGCGGCGGCGACTTGAGAATCGTCGGCGCTGGTAGCTAAGGCTACCACCGGTGATGGCTTCCACTCAACTGAGCTGCTCCGATGAACTTCGAGCATCTCCGGAGCTAAAGATTACAGCTTTTTGTGAAGAGTTTTTTCGACTGATTGGTGAAGGGGCAGTGAAGAAGATGAGAAGTGAAAGGGGAAAAGAGAAGACAATAGGTCATCAGCACAAGCTAGGTTTTTTCCGAGGGTTTAAGCGCCAACGGATCGGTCGGGTATCATACCGGATCCTCTTGGAAGAAACGGGTCAGTCAACTCCGTACGAGTACTAATTTAATTAGGCATGAAGTACATAAATAAAAAATAAATTTTGTGATTTTAAACTAAAAATATTTATTATATATGCAATATTTTTCATCCTTGTCTGGTATTTACTTTAGTTCATATTAAGTGAATTGTTGATTTTTCTTATTGTTCAAAATAAATCAACTATTCAACATATTAGAAAGTTATTGAGATTCTTTTTCCACATTTATCTTTCGTTCAGTAGATTTTTTACTACTTTACATTTTCTAGGAGATTAATTTGAATTAATAGAAAAGGTAATTGTGAAAAGTAGCCTTTAATTTAAAATTTATGTCCTTAATATTTTCCTTAATGATCTAAACTCCCGATAATTCATTTAAAATATGAACTAGAGGATGTATTGACTTGGTGCATTATATAAGGAACAATTAATAAAATGATATTTTTATTAATTCACGTTTTAATATAATAAATTTAATGCTTCAAAAATGACCATATGCATAATTAATAATAAGGATAATTTATCTAATGAATTGAGATATCTTATCGATGAAAAAATATTATGAGTAAGTTGATGTTATCCAATGGAATAATGTTGGAGTTTTTATTTATTATTAAATATAAGGACTAACATTAATTTACTTGACAATAGTGAAGGCTCATTGAAAATCTCTTAAAAGATCTATAATGGGAGACTCATTATATTAATTTTAAAATCTTCAAATAAAGTGTTTTTCTTTAATTTCCATAATCAAACGCTCACTTAATTGCTCGTTAATGCAATGCACAATATCAAGAAAAGGAGAGGTAATAATTCTTGTCTTAATAATTATAAAATAACAACATACCAGTAATTATACAAATGAAATCTGAAGAAATAATATGTCCGTAGACCTTAGTCTTATCATACGAAGATAAAATGACTATTTCCGATAAAATCTCGATTCAACTAAATCATTTAAAAGCAGACACTAACGTCAATTACTGGCTAATAGCTTCAATAGTCTATAAAGGATTATGGGATATCCATCTTTTGAACATATTAAAGCTCTCTACCCTTTTATACTCAGGTGCTACATGTCCTGCTCCCTGTTTAAAATAAATAAATAACAAAAAAAAAAAACTTATTAATTAATTAAGAGGGAAAAATAAAAATCAAATACAATAAAACAAACCAATGTGAAGGAAAATAATAATGTTAAACAAATAAAGTTCTTGCCTTTACTGTTGCAAATGTCATCTTATTGGCATATGATCTTGTGTATCTACAAAAATGTATAAATAAATAAATAAATAAAATTTAGTATCTATAATGATAAAGAAACAATTAAACTAATAGTTCATTTATTCAGACTTTTAAAATCTACTTATTTTGAAAAACACTTTTTATCAAAAGTGAAAAGAAACATTTTTTTGATGAATAGCAAGTTATGGGACTAATCAATTTGAAAAAAACGACAATATGAGAGTAGCAATTTATGCTCGAGTAAAATTTTTAAAAAATACCCGGCAACTTGACCATTAACGATCCATTGACGCCAATTATCAACAATTGAATAATTCAGTGATTTAATCCATGCTTCTGTAGATAGGAATGGTACACCCATGTCATGATCACCACTGTTTCAACAAAAAAAAAAGTTTAAAATTACTTATTCACAATTTTTTAAATTTATTTTGAGATTAATAATATGAACAAACGAATACATTAATTAAGAAAAATAAATTAATTACCTATATATAAGTGATCGATAACCTTTAGCGCTATGATTTACGTGATATGAAATACTGTCCATAGAGGTAAATGTATAGTATTTTTTAATACCATTTTGCTTGCATCTTGCCCAGTGATCTATAGTTCCCTGGTAAAAAAAAAAAAAGGAAAAACAATACTCAACATTTATGTATACTGATGATAATATATTATTTTTCAAAAAAATTGATCTATACCTAGTACCAATGATTACTCTTATGATGATCTAAAAATTAGAACGGAAACATACTATAACAATTTAAATTACGTTATTAATATGATAGTCCGTTTCTTTTTTATTTATAAAGCTTAAATTCATGACATATACTTTATTTGATCGATCTTTGAAAGGTTAAAGGTAGTATTTTTTTAAAAATAAAAAATACTTAAGTTAAATAATGTTTTTTTTTCAAAAAAAAAAAATCATATGAAAAAATCACAATTACAAAGTTTTTCACAATTTGATACTTAAAAGTATTTATTAAAAATACTTATTCAAATTACTAATATATATATAATTTAGTCAAACACAAACTGATGCATGATTGCAAACCTTTCGAACATGGAGAGCTTTCTGGACTCGAGGGTCATTTGCCCAATAATTTGAGATTTCGTGTCTATCAACCTGCAACCATGATAACATTATATTTAATATTGATGTTTTACCAAATCAATGATAGCATTATATTTGTTTGGAAATACTCTTCTATGATCTAGTTATGGTCAATTAGTGTATGTCTTATCTCATTTGTTAGAGTAAAAAATAGATTAATTTTTTAAAAATTGTTATCATTTTTCAAGTTTCACATCTAAAATATTAGGTATTACTAGAGCCCCTTGAACAATTATAAACTCATATAAAAAATAACCTCGCAAGAATATGACATGATCCAAAAAGTTTCAAGTGGGTAGTACACGTAACCTCCACCCCCTAAACAATAATCTTTTTTTGGTTATGTTCACAAAACTATATGAGCTATCATGAATTCATTGTCAAGACTTTCTTCATTTCTCACACTGTCACACTCCTTTCAGCAAGTTATCTCAAATATTTTACCATATATATATATATTCCATCGGAAGAGATTTTAATCTAAAGGGAGTATAGTCGAAGAGGTAACACGAAGAACACCTAATGATTTAAATATAAAACTCACAAAATCACAATAATTTAAAGAAATTTTAACTTATTCACTTAATTTTATTACTTGATTAATAGATTTGATGTAAACACGGAATGAATTCGAGTAAATTTTTACCCTAGAAATACTTACAAGCTTTCCATAACAGCTGGGTGAGATGGCATTCTCTTGAATAGATCTTCTTCTCCCTCTAAATATAGATGGAAATGGGCTTTTCAATTCAGTTTCTGATCCACACATGGGTTCTAAAACTTGTTGATCATTAATATTGTTCAACAGCTACAAAATTTGCAAATTCAACAAATTAATTACTACTAACCAATTAATTAAGGAAATCTTAATGATAATTGTATTTAAGAAATTATTAACCTCATCCAAAATATCTAGATCTTGGGTGCATTGAGCATTAGTGGGAGCAAACTCCTCTCTGTATTCTCCTTTGCAATTTTGCACCATTGACTGTTATGGAAAAAAACATCTTTAATCAAACTTTCAAAATCTGTTTATTTTAAAAATTACTTTTTGTCATACGTGCTTTCCAGAAAAGAACTTTCATATAATACTAATCAATTTGAAAAGTATTTTTGTTTGTATCATAACATCGATTTTGTATGTTTTATCAAACTTTTAAAAAGTGTTCACGGGAAAAACTATTTTTTTCAACTTCTGAAAAACAAAAGAAAATAATAAAAGAATTGGGGTAAGGAAATGAGAGAGGATTACAAGGTAGAGAATCGAACACTCACCAACAAGGTGAAAGTTCATGTAGTCAACGAATATAGGTAACTAAGATTTCTCGAAGAAAAAATATTAATTAAAATCTGATTTCTATTACTACTCAAAACCACTTTTTTTTTTTTGAATCGCCCTATATATTACCTGATAAAGTTCATTAGGAATGATTCCCATGCCAAGAAGAAATGGAATAACAAAATTTTTTTCTTCAGGAAATGTTAAAGGGTTTCCGAGTAAATAACCCTGAAATTAACCAAAACAACTGAGATTAGATTAAACTGTTAATTACACTACTACTACTACTAATAATAAAAAAAAGATTAAGAAAAGAATGAACATAATTAGAAACCTTAAGGTTAATCAAAGGCTTGTTGCCTGCTTCAATTCCTACAATTAAGATCACGCAACTCTTAAGTAATTAGACAAACAATGCTACTAATAAACAGTAAAATAACTTGAAAACTCTGTAATTAGATACATAAAACTATGATTAATTATATGAAGTTGATTAGTAATTATAATTACCATCTGATATCAGTTGGACAACACGTGGAAGAACGACACCAGAATATGAATCTCCACCCAAATAAAAATTATTTGAACTGAATTCTGGATGATCAACGAGCCACTGCAATTAATGATTAGAAACAATTAGGACGAGCTCACTCACATACTAAATAGGTGACTCGAAATTATAGTACTAGCTATAGTTGATTCGTTCTCTCAAGATAACGCGGATTAACAACTAACAAGCGAGAGTCGAGAGGAGAGCAAGTTGTATCTAATATACATACCTTAAGTAAAAATTCATAGACGTGCTTAAATGCATCAACATCAATGACATGCATTGCTTCTGGTGTTGTTGCATATGAAAATCCAGTATTTACAGGTTGCTCTAAGAAAATTATGTTTGCAACCTAATAATTTAGAAAATATTACAACAATTAAATATAATTCAAATTCACCTTAAACTAATAAAGATATACAAGAATCATAGGCAATGTAATTACCTTGGTCCATGAGTTTGGAGTCACTCCAAGTGTTGGTAGACTCCCATTATACTTTTTTTGTTTGTAATATAATGGCCCTGAATTATTAATCAACAACCTTAAGTAAAATTAATCAACAACAATCATATAAATTGCATCACAGGAAATGCTTGCATCAAACATCAATAGGAAAATGCTTAAATATGCCATCAAATTTTGAAAAAAAGGCTCATCTATGCCATCGGTTAAAAGTTTGGCTCATCTATGCCATTTCCGTTTAAGAAAAGGAGCATCCATGCCATTATTTGTTAACTAGAAATGACATAGATGAGCCAAACTTTTAACTGGATGACATAGATGAGTCTTGTCTCAAAGTTTGATGGTATATTTGAGTCTTTTCCTTTTTAAAAATGATTTAACAATGACGTGGCCGAATCATAATTAACTATGTGTGAAAAATGGTTTTGCAAAATCTGAACTTTTGCAAAATCTGAACTTTTTTAAGTTAACAAATAATGGCATGGATGAGCCTTTTCTCAAACGAAAATGACATAGATGAGCCAAACTTTAAACGAATGACATAGATAAGCCTTTTCCCAACATTAATTAATCTCAAAAGAAATTGGTTTTTATGCATTGACAGTGTAAACAGGTCACTTATAAGATAACTACATAAAATTATTTATGATAAAGATAGGCGGATACAGAGTACTGGTATCAGATTCATCTGAATCAATTATTTTGATGCAAAATATAAATTTATTTATAAAAATCATGAAAATTGCAATAACCAGTAAATATGAACCCATAACTACAAAGAATCTTAAACACTATTCTTTTCGACTGTAACATACTAGGAATCTTAAAGATTGAACCCGTAAAATTTAAATTCGCCTTTAGAAGAATGGAACTATACTTACCAATTTCATAGACAACTCCATTGAAAGAAGAGCAACCAGGTCCTCCAGTGAGCCACAATATAAGAGGATCATTTCCAGGGTCTGATTCTGATTTAATAAAATAATAAAATAGCTGATGTTTCTCTTCTTTACCCACACCTACATACCTGAATCATGTAAATATTTAATTCTAATTATTTCAACTTAACATTTTTAAAAAATTTAATTTGTAAGCCATTTTAATTTATTTCGGCACAAAGTTTAAAAAATAATTATTTTTAAAGATTTGTAATTTTAAATATATTTGATATTTTTATAACTTATAAAAATTATACTAACAAATATGAAATTTGAAATCTTGAAAATAAAATACGATAGGTACTAGCTAGTGCAACAACTAAAAATAGCCTAAAGATATAAATATTATTTATACGGACAATCTAGATTACTTGCACTGTTTTAGATATTATTGCAAATTAGTACTCCTATATTTTTTATAATTGAATATATTCACCTTAGCCAGAGTAATAAATATGAGTTTTGGGTCAAAAACATCCCTCAATTATACCCAACTCTTAAATTACATCCTTTCCCTATCATAATAAACAAAAAGCATCCCTAAACTATCCAAAAACTTGCAAATTACATCCCTCCGTTAGTTTATAACGGCTTCAACTAGAAGTGCATGACTATCCCTTATCAAACGGCTGCAATTTGGACAGTTAACGATAAGAAAATTCAACAAATCTTAATATCAAATCAATACATTATTGTTCAGTTGAAGAAATAAAAATTAATGCAATAATATTCTTACCAAAAATTGATAAGGATATCTATATGTTTGTTATTTTCAACATGTAAATAATTGATCTATTAGTAAACGTCAAAATTGTTTTATAAATTCCAAATGAATAACTATTAATTATATATAAAAGTCTTCAAGTTATAAAGGTAAAATTAAAGATGAATTATGTATCTCATTTGTACACGATGTAAACTATATTAATTATAAAAATCTTCACAATATAAGAGTAAGACTATGTACACATCACCCTTCTCATACCCACTTATAGAATTACACTGAATATATATATATATATATATATATTATTGTGATTAAAAAACAAATTATGTATCTCATTTACATATGATGTTATATTTATTTTATCTAAACATTAAAATTGGAATAATATAAATGAGAAAAGCTATATAAAAATTTAAAAGAGAAGAAACTATTTTTCATGTTATTCTGCACATTCCATAAATTAACCTCACCAAACATCTATTCCTTGTAGCTATATTAGAGCTATTGGAAAGCAAGGTATATGGGTGGAGTATTTATCTTCCACTTTTTCTTATCTATATTTTTCCAAATGATAAATAAAAATGAAAGAAACGTAAGCTTATGTTTTGGCTTTTTGCTGAAGAATGATAAATAATGGTAGATTTGTAGGGATAAGTCAAGTGCATGACATAATTTTTGTTTGAATCTGTTAGTTTTTGACAGAAAACTAAGAGAGGGTGTAACTTGTCACTTCTAGGATAGTTCAAGGATGCTATTTATTCATTGTAATAATATAAGGATGTAGTTTAAGTTTGAGTTATAATTGAGGGATGTTTTTGGCCATTTACTCTAATAAATATAATAGTCAAACTGCATTATTTAGCCTCACGTAAGATGAGTGTCCATAATATTATATCAATATATATATACATAAAATAGCTATATCTAATTGGGTAAGATGAGTGTCGATAATATTATATTAATTTAAAAAAAGTATATACATAAAATATCTATTATTCTATATCTAATTGTATAGAGAGAGCACACATTCACGTGGTGAATCATAATTAACTGTTTCTCTAGATTTGCTGAGCTAGATGCCATTTTTTTTTGCAATCAGTAAACTGTGGGAGAAATTGTTAGATCTATCGTCTTTGCTAGTAATGTGAGAGCTAAAATTATGATTCAAATTCTACCCTCTAGTAGAGTTGTTACCCGTTTTGATACAAGCAAATTAAAACTGGATTGAGTTTTGATCCGTCCAAATTTGACCCAATCATAAAACTTGCTCTAAGCTATACAATTGTTAAATAAGTAAAAGAAAGAAAGAAACTAACCCAGTTTCGAGATGAAAAGGAAGAGGACCGTCAAATCCAGGAAGAAATTTAACAGTTGCAGCAGCTTGTACTTGCAGTTGCAGTTGCAGGGGGCTTATTTGTATCACTAATAGTAGAGCAAGAAGATGAAGAAACATATTGGAGCTAATTAGGGAATATTTTGATTTCGCCATTGATGCTTTAATTTTTGAATGAATTTAAAATAATTGGAGGGGCATCTTATACTGTTATGGCAGCAAACACATTTTTCATGAAATGTTTTTGAAAAGACAAAAAACATCCCTCTATTGAGAATTTTTTTATAATGGTAGAGATTCAACCAACAATAATTGTATGACCCTCCATTGATTAATTGACACTCGAATAATGTGTCTATTTCTTTACCTTTTTATCATCTCTCTCCTACTCACCCTTCTTTTCATTCATTTTCTTATTTTCTTACTCCTAATAAATATTTCTTAACTTCATTTTCTTAAGATGTTGATATATTGAATAAAAGAATTAATTAACTTTTTTTTTTCACAATAACTAAAAATGTTTTTAGGACTGAGTATTTAAAATACTCATATCATTCAATATTTTTAATAATATCAAATTAACTAAAAAATATTTAGTGTTTTTTCAATTACTAGCACCTAAAAAAACAAATTAATTCAAATTTAGTTTTTCATATTTTTTTTAATTATGTTTTAGTTCATATATTTATAGTCATTGTTATTTTAATTATGTTTTAGTTCATATATTTATAGTCATTCTCTTAACAGAGAGTATCCGTTATTTTTCTTAATTTAAGTTATAATTTTTTAATATACTTAATAGAAAAACGTTGAAAAATATATATTATAACTGAATGTACGTAAAGACACGAAAAATGAATTCTAATAATATTAAGGTTGAATGATATTATTTTTTTTAATTATTATTATTATAATAATAATAATATAATGAGTAGTTAATTTAAAATTATATGGAACCAATTGATTCTTGAAAATAAATTAAGCATTGCAAGTTTTAATTTAAAAGACTTAAATTTCGTTCTATGACCCATGTCACCTGTATAAATTTTTTAAAAACGTTTATGAGTCCACCACTCCCTATCCTGTTCTGTCTCGTTGTCATTCTTATATTTAAATATGGTTATGGTGAAAGAAAAAGTATGTCTAATTTCAAAATAAGATCAAATCAAAACAAAAATAATCTTATCAAATCAATTTATATGCTAAAGTAAATTAGTTTGTATTTTGAGTTAATTTGATTCTATTAAATATACTGAAAAATAAGTTTATTTTTTAATGTTAACAATTTTATAAGTGTTTAAGTTATTTTAACAGAAAATGTATTTATCGATATTTTTTTATCAAATGTATTAATTATTTAATTATGTTTTGAGAATCATATATTTATTAGGAGTAAAAAAAATGAAAGAAAAGAGAGGTGAGTAAGAGAGAGATGGTAAAAAGGTAAAGAAGTGGATCCATTATCCAAGTGTCAATTTACATTAATTAATGGAGGGTCACACAACTATTGTTGGTTGAACCTCTACCATCGTAAAATTTTTCCTCTACTGAAGCATCTTGTGGGAACGTAAGAAATACACGCTTAAATTCTCGTCAAGTTTAAGTGTATTTTCAACACATCTTTCAGCTTTTTATAGAGTCTCATGCTATTACAAGAGTTTGAGACATACTTGATATGCTATGTGGCAAATCGAGAATGAATTTAAGTTTAATTAATTAACTAAAAGAGTGTTTTTAAAAATATTTATAGTTTGAAAACGAAATTAACAATTATGCCAAGTTCGAATGTGATATAAAAAATAATAATACAGAACGATGGCTATTTCTGGAATGATATAAAATAGCTGCACATGGTGTCCACCAGAATGTTGTCTCATTCAAAGATGATTGGTGAAAATTTGAAAATAAAATAATATCAGAATATTTAAATCTATCCCGCTACCTACTCCTTTTGGCCATAGAAAGCTTTGAGAATTATACCAGACACGAAATAAATTATACATGAAAGATGCAACAAAGATCTATGCTCTGCAGTGAGCATCAAATTCAAATTTTGTGCAAGAATCTCATTTTTTGATAGCACAAAAGAAAAATTTAAGCCAAAAAAAATTTGGATGGAGCCAAAGACGCCGATGAGCGTCAATGGCTGACTCAAGTGCCTCTCAGAATACCACATGATCACCTATTACACGACTCACTAACTTTACTTGTGACTGCTTCTGTAGTAGAGTTTACTATACTTACTATTTCAGTTGTAGAGTTCTAAATTTATGTTGTTGGCATTGCCTCAAGTGAGAACTGTTTTTGGCTTGTTACCAACCTTCGTGGTAAAATAAAAGTGTTGTAAGATTTTGAGTTATAATGATGAGCCTTTAGTGTAATTTTGTCCAAATTTCAATTAGTTAGTATATTTTTTCTTGCTACTAAAATCATCTCAGTATTAGTAGATGGAACACAATAAGCAAAGCCAGCAGAAATGCAGGGGAATATCTCAAATTTGATAGGGGCAACTGAAAAATAAAGTTCAAACTAACATCCAAATGAAATATACAACCAGAAGGTGCCAATTTTTTACGTTTAAAATAGAACTGAAACCACGTATTTCCAGAGGTACAAGTGTGGTTTCTGCAATGTAATGCCTTTCTCTATTACCTTGTCTATACATGCTCGGTGTTAACAACAACATACCCAATATATTCCCGAAACAAGTGGGGTCTAGAAAGGGTGGGGTGTACGCAGACCTTACCCCTACCTTTGCGGGGTAACTGGGGTAAAGAGGTTGTTTCCTATAGACTCCTGGCTCAAGACTCTGTTAGCTTTAGAAAATATGTATACAAGTAAAATTCTTCATCTAGATTCAACTTCCAATCAAATGTCAGCGCATGTTGATTTCACCAACATTTTCTTCATTCTTGCTCTCCGTTTCTTCCACTTTTAATCTCTGCAAAATTGGAAGAAAGTTGGAATATAATTAGCCTGTAGTTACCATGTATATTTTCTCGATTGATTCTAGACTCAAATTTCCTCAATGTAATACAACTTCTCTTAAGCCAGATCAGAGGATTAAGATATTTTATTTGAGAAGAAATGAGACAAAATCATATGATAGAGAACGAATCATTAAGCATTCTTAAAACTTCTACACTTCTTCAGTTTCTTGCATATAACTTAAATCTTTAAAAAAGATATCCTCCTCTCCCATCTTTTCGTTCTCAAACTACGAATAGTTAGAAATCACGAAACAAACCTTTGCTGCCGAAGAGTTCTCATTTGACAAGCGTGCAAACATTGTTGTATAGAGCTTTGCATCTCTCTTGTTGCTCTCTGCTTGGAGTTGTTTTAGGTTCTTCTGTATCAGTTTCACCTCCCTGATCCGCAGAAACTCCTTGAATCATAACGGTCAAAAGAATTCTCCACCAATATTAAAGTCATGAGTTGCATTACCTGTTTTGTGGATCTATTTCTAGTGCCTTCTTGATATCCAGTTCCGCCAAGTGCAGATCAGCTGTTTCCATAAATGCTTGTGCTCTCCTATATAATGCTTTCACATTGCAGGACTCAACTTCTAAGACCTATGACCGATGGGAAAGGATAAGGATGAAATTAGGCCGTGCTTCGTTTTGAAAAGACAGATTGCCAATTCATTAACATGAAAAGGAAGAATGCCTTTAATCAGCTGATACAGTATGCACTGATATGACTGTTTTTGTCACAATAAAGCATGCCTATCCATCCAAATTACATGAAAATAGTATTGTTCAATTGATTATCTTGTTATGTATGTACTTTACCTTGGAACATTGCTTGATTGCTTCCTGGAAATAATTCCGTTTGAGACATGCTGCAGCACCATTCAACCAGCATGACACTCTCAATGATTTAACTATCTTTTGATCATCATCCTCAAAATGTTCATCTTCATTAATACAATCAGTAGCCTGAACGGAAAAAAAAATCCAAATGAGAAAAAGCATAAAAATTATAGAGTATCTAACAAAAGTTGCACATTCTTAACATTGATGACCAATTCACTGAGATACCTTCTCATATTTCTTCATTGCTCTTTGATACTTTCCGTTTTTGAAGAGCAAGTTGCCTTCTTCTTTCTTCCTCTGGGCCATTTGGATTCTCTCATGCTTATTCATTTCCCTAGGATCTTTTTCCTAGTTCCCAAAAGGAGAGTTAGAGTTTTGAGAAATTTGTATGTATCAACCCAAAATAAATACGAGAGAAATTTAGTAAAATGGTCTTGTGCAGCATCAAAATTTTTCCCATTAAGAGATTATCAACTTCACGAAAATAAGCACTCTGTCCAACCCAACTAAGCTGCCCTAATTTCACTACACTAAGCAGTTTAGCACCCCATCCATCCCAATTAAAGTGTCCTACTCTCACTTGATGATCCAAATTACCAAACACTAGAGTGAAGATTACCATATTCAGAGTTTTAGCTACGAAAGGCTACAAATTAAAATAACTTGTTAAATTTGACCTGAAATTCAAACTAGAGTAGTTAACAGGACAGGATTAGTCGATAGGGGGTTAAGACTTGAAAATCCAAACATCGGTTATTATGTGAATCAAATTACTGGAACTTTCTTTTTTGGTTCGGTGAAATCAAATTACTGTAACTTGAAGATAAGGCATGGACAATACATCTAATAACATAATTCCAAACTAGAAAATCTTTAATACAGAAAAACATAAGCATCAAATCAAACCTGATTTACACAAGATATAACAAACAAGAGAGGACTTCTCTATGAAGAGAGGAGACTTTATAGATGTTCCGGAGAAGTATCGTTAGAGTCGATTTAGTTTCATAGTACGTGCCAGTAAATTCTCACAAGAAAAAAAAAACACAGCAATATATTTACAAACTTAATCAATCAGTTTAAGCAATTACATCCATTAACCTTTTGAGTAGTGTTCAGGTTTCTTCATATGTTCAATCCTAGAAAATTAACTACATTTGCCAATCAGAACTTTGGGCCACTTGTTTGGGTCATTTACACATCGTATATGAGTTCTAACCCTACATTCGCTGAACCATATGTACTAAGCGGCTAAACCAAATATGTCTTAGCAGATTACAGACTTCCATCAGAAATTACCTTTGTGAACTCCAACATCTCAACTTCAAAAATT